AGAAAAGAAACTTTTTTGAAGTCAAATGTGGTTGGTGTTGGTTTGATAGAATCATTTATACAAAGGTGAATTCAACCACTACAATAGTACCAAGATCAACCAAACTGTCCCAATCAAAATGGTTGGAAATTCAAGATTGCTACATGCAATTTTTTTTTTTAAAACTTAAGAGGGAAAGCTTAGTTAAGAATATAACTATCAATAATTAATAAACTAAACAAATAAAATATAATAACAATTCAACCCTATTTTATATGGTAATTTCATTACATCAAATTATAAATATCATGTGTCACGTCCTTTTCCATGTACCATTACGTGTGATTTGAGTTCATGAAGTCCTAACCAATGCAAAATGCACTCAATATTTTTAAAATGTAAATTCACCTTTCAAATCATGAGTTTATAGCTTCAACCACATTAAAGTGAATAAAGTATTCTTTTATAACATATTAATATATTATAGATCAAATAAATTGATTAATATAGGTTACAATTTAACCTAAAATCAACTTCATTACTAAAAATATAAATTATATTTAAAGAATTGAGATAAATGATATGACATTTTTTCTAACATCTTCTAATTAAAGATAATATAGAGACAAATAATGTAATCTTCATTAAAAAACACATTATAATAAACAAAATTAAGAAACTTCTTATGTTAAATTTTAACTTAAAATTAATTGATAATGGATAAGACAATCGATCAATACTTAAATCATACTTAAAATTCATTTCACTGTCATAGTCTTTGGTTCATGTGTTTTAGGAAGGTGTTTCTGTCACTGTGAAACAAATGTAGTGCTCTTTGTTTAGATTTGGTCGAATTCATTTCAATATAATTAATTTTAAGCTATTAAATTTGAGAGTTTAAACAATATCCACTTTAAACCAATAAAAAACTTGTCTGAGTTTATAACAAAAATTTGTAATACTTATAATTGAATGCAGAAGAACAAACTTTACACTTGGGTATTCTTATAAATTTAGATTTTTTTATTTTCCATTAAAATATTATTTCTCAATATGAAACTTCATACTTAAAACTCTTCATATTTTAAAATGTATACATAAACGTGAAAAAAAAATAGAGGTAATGATGTTTATTTAATTTAATTTGATAAAATTAGTTTTAATTGGAAAAAAAAAATGGCCACTAAATTTAACTTAAAAGTTACTATTTATATGACATGAGTCTGCTGCATAATTGCATTTGCATTCTGGTCGGCCTATAAACAAAGCATTTACTCACTTTAATGGGCCAACCACAAAACATACTATATAAATATATGAACATTTTTCAATTTTAATTGTTACATTTTTACCTCTAACATGGGTATGGTTTGTTAAAACATAAAGGACAAATATAACACAAAAGTATTTATTTTCCATTTTATTTTCAAAATGGTCATGGGACACCACCAATAAACAAGAAGTATAAAATAAAATTATAAAAAGTTGCAATTTATCAAAGTAAGGGAAAATTTTTGGTAATTCGACTTAATGGGATAGTTAAGATGAAATAAGTCAATGATTTTAGCTTTTAATCTATTTTGGTCCGTCTCTTATGTCAACTTAATAGGTCAAAGACATTGATTGACTAATTTTAAAAATATATTTATATATTAAAATTAAAATTAAAAAAAGTAATTAAAAAATTATATTTTTGTATTATATAATTAAAATATGTAAATATATCATAATTTAAATTATATAAATTAATCAATTAAATTTAAACTATTGATTATAATTAGTTATTTTAATACATAAATATAATAATTTTTATATTTATTTAATAATAATAATAATTAATAAATAAAAACATGAAATATTTCATATAATTAAAGTTATGTTTAAAAAAAATATATAAAAAATATTATATAAAAAAATTTGTTAACGGATTGACTTATTGTCTCGTCAACCTATTTTTTGGCAAAGTGGACTAACCTATGTAGTTCATCATAACTATGACGGATTAGCTCTGTCTCATCTCATTTTTGGTGAACCAAAGACTGAATAAACTAAAACGTACGACGGGGTGACCTATTTTATTATCCCTAAATTCTTGTTCCATGCATAATAAAATGAAGACTCTTGCTTTCTATACCCCATAATTTGTTTTCTTGTACTTTCGTAAGTCAAATACTTAAAATACCCTTTTCATGATTTTTTTTTTTACCTTAACTTCTTATTCTATTTGTATACAACTTTGGTACATCCATCTCTTAACTATTTAGTTATTTTGTGTTATCACCTCCATTAAAGGTCTTTTTTAATAATTAAAGGCCTTTTTTTTAACAATTAAAAATAAATAATCATTAATATTATATATGAATTATGTGTTCTTCCACTCAAATTATACAAACAAATCAAAATTATCTAATCTGAAACAATGTGGCGAAAATGAAATTAAATTCCAAAAAAATCAATCCAAAAATATATTATAAATTGAGTGTTACAAAATATGTATCCAAAATGCATTATGAAAATATTTTCTTATTGTTTTGATGAAAGATGATGATAAATGTAAGAGTAAAACAAGATTTAGTTTAATTATGGGGTGCAAATAAAAATTATGGGAGTGCAGGAAGAAAAAACCTAAACACAAATATGTCTTTTACTATGTATAAACGTTTTTTATTTATTTTTCCATGCAAGATTTCTTGGACTTTTTTTTCACTTTTTTATAATAATAATAATAATAATATATTGTAATATTTTCTCATAAACTAAACATATTTATAAATTTTATATTTTAAAACATTATTACCATGAACTTTTTGGTTGATAGTAGTTACGTGAGAAAAAATAAACTTATATCACGTATTAATAAATGACATCTCTTTTTTATTATAATTAAAAGTCTCATATATAATATTAAAAAAATATTTAAATAATTATTATCATAAAAGTCAAATAATATAATGTAATATACGATGAGATTGTTTATATATTTAAATTAATTTCTTAAATAATTCAAGTTTAGCTTTATTTAATAAAAATTAAGTTAAATGCACTATATGATAAATTTATTATATTATTCAATAGTTAGTCAAAGTATTATTAAAATAATTTATAATAATTAATAAAAATTAACCAAAATGTTATACACTAATAGTGTAAACAATTTAACATTATCATTCAATCACGAATATGATGTATGTAGGATAGGTTTGTTAACCTTTTTATTTATTTCAAGAAATATTAAAAAAGATAAATAATATAATAAATAAAACTTTGCTGAATCTTAAAGTCCCAAGCCAAAATGAAAAACATGAAATTAAAAATTCCACCAATTTTGATAAATACATATTATGTATCATTCATATATGTCTTATCATTATCATCGCGACACATAATTTTCATAAATTAATAAAAAATACACAAACATAACACGAAATATTCTTCTATCGTAAAAAAAAAGTGTTAACTTTTTTTTAATTATTAAACAAATAGTTTAATTTTGGCGTATTATCAAATGTAAATTTTAAAGTTAATATTATGAAAATAAATAATCTTTCTATAAATAATAATTTAATCCTCAAAAAAATTGCATTTACCTTTTATATTAATAAAGAGAGTTTAAATTTCAGTCATTGTTAATAAATTTTATAATTTTTTCATCAATTATAAATAACCTTAAACATATTTTTTAACAATGAATTATCACATGACACTCTTATCATACTTATTCTGAATTATAATATAAACAAATTTAAACTAAAACTAGATGGCAAGAAAAATATAAACAAAAGTTTGATTTATTTAATGAAATTATCCTTAATATATATATATATATATTATATAAACTTTATCTTAATACTAAACATTGATAAAAAGTAGGAATTGACTTTATGATAATTATAGATCTCAATCAATAATTTGTTTTTCATATATATTTTTATAAAACACATATCTTTGATTATAATATAATTTTAAAATTTTTATTTATTAATTAACATTTGTATTAGATAAATTAAAAAAAAATATATTTATGGGTTAGATTAACTAATTATAATTAATAATTTAAAATTAATTAATTATTTTTATAATTTAAATTATAATATATTTAAATATCTCAATAATATAAATAAATATTTTTAATTATAATAAATTTTATTTTATTTTAATATATACATGTTATTTTAAAGCTGATTAATCCGTCTTATCTTTGACCCGCTAAATTAACAAATTAGACAAGAGGAACCAAATTAAATTAAAAGACTAAATTTACTAATCCGTCTGGTTAATTTTTTAGCTGTATCTAACTGGACTTAGCCCGTTTTATGAAGGTAGAGAAAATCCAAAAAAAAAAACATTTAGATGAAAAGATGATAAAAAATAGAAAATGATAAATATTGACCCAATTTTTAAATACTTTAAAGTTAGAATCTATCTTGTACTACCCCCATCATTGGCTAATAAAGATGATAAAATCATGATATACAAAAGGTTAAAATTCATTTTTGTTCTTAATCTTACTATTCTAACTTTAATATTCTGTATTTTATTTTGAATTCTCGAAATATTTTTATTAGAACACATTAGTAATTTTTATTTGCATTTCATACTAATTTGGTCAAATTAATTATATCTACGAACATGATTCATCCTCAAGTTTTCACATCTGCAATCCACAATTTTTATTTTCTAATGCAAAACCAAAATTATATGCATGAAAAAAATATCCCTTTTTTCTATTCTCTAGGGAGAACGAGGTGGAAATTAAAAGCAGAAAACCAACAAGAAGAAAAAACCAAAAAGCTAGCTTTCAGCATACCCAAATCCAAACCCAAACTCAAACCCAAACCCAAACCCAAACCCAAACCCAAACCCAACACACACATGTCAGTCAGACACATCAAACACAACTCAACACAACACAAAACCTCAACAGAAACTGAGAGAGAAAGATAAAGTAACTGTTCACTTTCCCCATTGTCTTCTTCTTTCTTCTTCTCCTTCTTCCTTCTTTGGATTCAGAGTTTTGTTCCATGAATTCCAACAAACGTGAGGAAGAGGACGACCTCTTCCTCCCTCACCCTCCCGATCTGTCTCCTCCGCCGCCACCTCTGACGGACCCTTCCTCCTCCTCCTTCTCCCTCCTCTTCCCCTCCTCCCCGTCCTCCTCTCACTCCTCCCCCTCCCCTCCCTCCAAACCCCTCTTCATCTCCCCGGACCCCCACATCTCCTCTCAGTTCTACACCTTCACTCCATCCTCTCACGCCCTCATGCTCCGGTCCCTCCTCCTCCGCCGCCTACCCTCCCCCTCCGACATCCGCGCCGCCACCCCGCGCTCCGTCCTCGCCTCCTGGCGCACCGTCTGGAAGGACCGGAACGAGGACACCGCCTACCTCACCGCCTGGAAACGCATCCAAGACAAACTCACCACCCACCACGACCCCTCCACCAACTCCCACTTCCTCTGCTTCAAAAATAACCCTCACCAATTCGTCCCCCACGTGGAACAATGGCAGCACATCGTCATGTCCCACCACGCTGACACTGACCTCAACCACCTAAACCTCAAAGACACCCTCGAACGCATCAAGCAACACTGGACCGTTGGGGCCAAGTTCTACGGCATCCCGGAGAGCTTCATCCGCGTCTGCGTCGCTGCCTGCCCCGCCTGCTGCGCGGCGGAGGGTTCTGCCGAGCCCTCCTCCGCCCGCGGCAAGCGTCGCCGTTTCGAGTACACTGAGAGCTTCGATGTCCCCGCAAGGGAAGTCCCCTCAAGGCTCCAGCAGCTTGCGACAAAGCACAAGGTTGTGCTTTGCATTAGACAGAAGTATATTAGGTATAAGCCTTTCATGGCTGAGGTAAAGGACTATGCTTGCCATAGGGCTGGTGAACCTGCTGCTAAGAAATCTAAGGTTTTGAAGAGGGAGCCTTATGCTTCCAAGAGGTGTGGATGTGGGTTTAGGATTAGGGCTATTGTGCCTATTGCGAATTACAATGAGAAGGATAAGAGTTTTGTGTATCAGGAAGAGGGGGTGGCAGTTTTTAAGCTTTATGCTGTGCATTCTGGGCATGAGCCTGGGCCTTTGGATGGGAATGCCAGGATTATGCATAGGGTTGTTGGGCATAAGGGTGGTGGGTTTTTGATGGATCAGGAGAATGTGTATGGGGTGAGTGAGGAGATAGATGGGGAGGGAGGGTTTGGGTTGTTGGGGAAGGAGGATGGTGGGGATTTGCAGTTTTCAGTGCTGCAGCAGGTGCAGGAGTTGAGGACTGAGGTGGGGATGTTGGAGGGAAAGGTTGCGAAGATGCCGAGGGATTTGTTGGGGGCGGTATCGAGGGAATTGTATGAGGTTTTGAATAAAGTTAGAAGTATAGGGGAGGTGGGGTTGAAGCCAGCCGAGTTGATTACCGATAAGGTGGATGATGTTTTGGTTGGAGATAATGATCTGGCTAACTGGAGTAACCATCACGAGAGGATTTATGGGGATGGCAAGGACACGGAGCTGATTGAGGATGATGAGGACAGTTTTGGCCGGACCCTTGGGGAGGTGGTTTCGTGGGGGGATCAGATGAGGACTGAGTGCAGGAGTCAGAAGGATCTGATGAGTGACAGTTGTAAGCCAGAGAAGTGGCTGAAGTGCGGTGACTTTGATGAGAAGAGCATTCTTGATTGTGAGGAGGATAGTAAACTATCCAAGCCCATCAGGATGATCAGACACGACGAGGGGATAGTTTCGGATGTAGTAGGTCTTGGCTGTATGCAGGTTGATAGTTTCTACCAGGACAATTCTAAATGGTATGATTCTCCTTGTGCTTTGGATACTGGTGCTGATTGTGGAGATAGTGGATTCCGTCATGGAGAGATTTTATAGTGCCATGAACATTCAAGTTAATCTACTCTAACTTAGAGATCGAAATCTGTCGTCCTGGCTAATGGCTATTTACCCCTTCCAACAAATAGAAGAGGGACTGTACATTTATGTATACAGAAGATTGGAGCCGCTCACATGATGCCTTTTAGGTGTATTTATTATTTGTTATTGTTGTTTGTGGTTCTGTAAAGTTATAACCTGTATGCTTCTTGCACATAACTTCGTTATCGGTATGACTATCTGTTAACCTTGTTCATGGCCCTCGGCTTTTCCTCTTTCAGTCTTGGTCCTTATAATGCACATCAGTGTTTTGAGTGATCTGCTTTAGAACTTAGAGAGATATTTGTACGTATTATGAGGAACTACTGGTAATTTATTTTCATATTGAACAATTGTGTGTGTGAAATTTTCTGTATGACTTATATGCATTGTACTATCCAGCCATTTGCTTTATATATTTTAATATTTACATATTTCTTATATGCAAAAGATCATTGAGCTTCTGATTCAATTTGAAGATTATTTACTTTATGCCATAAGGGTGAAACAACCCAACATATCATCTGTAGCTCAGCCTCATTATTTATTTCTTCTTGGCACATGTTGTGGCAATCTCTTTAGTACTGAATTGAAGAATGAAGGGTTTTGGTGCCATAACAAATGCCTTCAGGTACTCCCAGTTTCCCCCCTCTCTGGAACTTCAAAATTATGATATTTATGGATTCATGTAGCCTTCTCCCCATATCTTATACCGTGGTTGTTCTTGCAACAAATGCCATAATATATGATGCTTGAATACATGATTGACTAAGAAATTACACAATAGTTACGAGGCATATATCATTGGCTACTAGAATACAATAAAAACCGCATGGCCTCCCTGGGTGGGTGCAGATATGATTATTCTTCAGTTGGGTGAAAGGGTTAAGTACCACACCTTAGATTGAAGTTCGCTACAAATATAAATTCATCCCTCTTAATTTTTATTCAACTGATATTTTTAATGGATCAATTAATGTACTATGAACATATGATGATGCTCCTAGAACGCATTTCTGCCATATCCATATCAAGAGGAATTCAAGGCATTAACCATAATTTATGCTTGGGATTCCAACAGTTAATGGGGGGGGGGGTCGCCATTTTCAACAGTTAATGTTTTGAAGCTGAAGTACTTGTTGAACAAAATTTAGGGAGATTTTGGTTTTGTTTTACGTTGCACCATCCTGAAGAACCATTTTTTAATCTAATTAGATTCCTAACATTGTTAGATATAGTTAGAGAAAAACATCAAAGATGTGTACCAAAATTTGATTGCATTGTTGTATCTAATTTTTATTTAAATGTTACCATTGTATTGCGTACCTTGTTGGAAGCCAATGGATGCACTAGTATCTTTCATATAGAGGGAAGATGTGGATAAACAAGTTTTACATTAACTAACGAGTTATTGGGCTGCCACTAATATTATTCTATGGAGCTTGTCCTGTTTGTGACCATTTTTTATGCTGTTCTCTTTGAATAGAATCTTTCATTGTCAGATTGAAGTGGCACTTTTAGCTGTATTTTTCAAGTTTGGGGGAAACAGTGTTATCAGGGTTCTTTGTACTGTGGTTACAATTCCAATGCTCAAACTCTTGCGTATTTGCTATGTATTAATTGGTATTTGACCATTTTAAATTGCCTGTAAGTTGTAACTATATGCTGCGTAGGGCGGTTTTGTAACATCCATATTAGGTTTGGTAAATATGTCCTTTATTTTTTGTTTCTGTTCAATAACTTTTTTAAGTGCCTAATTATAATCTTACATCTGTCTTTCATAAGTTCCCATTGGCTCCCTGAAGGCTTCTGATCTAGAGAAATGTACCAGACACTGCAAGTATTAAGGACAAGAAGATCATGTTATAGCCTGAAGTTAGGTATGCTTCCATATATAGTTAGTAGGCTTGTCATTTTGAGCCGAAAGCACATCATAGAATCTATTTTTTGCTTCTCATTGTGTTTATTCATTACTGTGCTAGACATGGTCCATTTTGAAGTCTTGAATCTCTACTATGGTACATTCTCTTGCATAGTTGTAATCTGTACAAAATTTGATCATATTCATTCCTTTTGATTCTTCCCAATCTTTATAATAGTAATTATACTCTAATATTTCATTAGGTTGAGTCGAGGATAAAAGATTTTTGATCTGACAACAGAATGCCAAGTTGGGCTCTGGAATATTCTGTAACTTTCAACTGTTTGAACATAACACCGTGTGCTGTCTAAAGTCTCGCAACAATAGACTTTTTTGTAGCTTTGAGGTGTTAGTATAATTTTTACATATACTGAAAACAGGATTTGGAATTTCAAACAAGTATGGAAGTATATAATATGGTTTTTATACGTGTTTTTGTGAAATTCGATCACATTCTTTATTATTTATGACAGTAATCACGCTGTATGATTTTATAACATTGAGTCAATAATAGAAGAATTTTGATGTGATTTAGTGGAAAGTATGCCAAGTTGTGCTCTGGAATATTCTACAACTTACAACTTCTGGAACATAATGGTATACTTTTCTAATGTCTACCAACAAAAGACTTCATAGTCTTGAAGTGTTATCGAAAGTTAGCTAGTTATTTTAGTACGAAAAAAAAGGATTTGGAATTTTAGATAAGTATAGAAGAATACGTACCCAGTGGGAGAAGGCTTTATTTGTTTCAAAGAAGAATATAGTTTTTTTTTTTTTCCTATTTATTTTATTGAGCTTTATGCAAGAGACTCTGTAGTGGTTGATACATGTGTTGTGTACTATCTAATATTTCAAACATCTCAAAGATGTAAATAGCATCAGTTACACACTTAAGGCTGGGGAACATACAGATACATTGATGCTTTGATTTGGCAAATGCTTATTCGAAAAAAATTGAGAAGTATACAGTCACAGTTACGCATCCATCTTTTCCTTCTTGTCATTAAGGTCCGTGACTTTGATTCTTTACCAGGTTTGACATTAGACCTGAGACCAAAATTGGTTCTTTTTCTCTTTGCTTTGTTTTATTGGGTTTGGGGAATTGTTCATCTCTGACCCTTGGCTGTTTTGTTGTTTTGCTTTGTCAGTGTTCAGTATTTTATTGTCTTTTGTTCTTCTGTGTATATTTAGTACTTAAAATTGTAAAGGCGTGAAGATGTGGATCCTAGTGTTATGAACCTTCTTGTGACTGTGGTAAAGTGAGAAGCAGGCTCTTCCTTGACAGAGTCCCTTTTTAAGTAGTTTTTTCCACATAATTTCTCATTAATAATATTGCAATCAGATCTTCTTCCTTTACTAAAAGGCTTTCAAAGATATTCATAATTAATAGGATCACACTTAACAATTATCCCAATTGATAAAATAAAAAATGATGAGATCCTTAATTAGTGGGATTGTGTTTGTTAATTACCTAATTACTAGTATAAGATTCCAATTAGTATAATCATAAGTCACGATTGTTCTAATAAAAAACAATAATGGATCTGAAATCAGGGATTCTGATGTGCCGATCTTATGAAGATAGGAAAATATAATAAACAAATTAACTAAAAATTCAAGATAAAGAGATATGATAATCCTAATTAGTGATCCACTTCACTTAGTTATTAGACCAGTGTTGTGAGATGATCAAATAATACACATGGTACACAGGTCTAGAAAGGAGTCTCCTAGTCATTTTCACAGTTTATCTCGTTCATAGTGATTGACTTATTTTGAAAGTCACTGAATTTCAATTGTTAAACCATTGTTTATACTTTGTCATTGTTGGGTGAAACATTTATTGACAAGTGAGTGCATTGTAGAGAAACATTTATTGCAGCGGTTTAGAAATAAGTTGTTTCTTGTAGTTTGCATCAAGCTGAATTTTCTTTTTCTTTATTTTTTTACTTGGACGCTGTGCACTAATTCTTTCTAAGTTTGTGATGAATAGAGTCTAAGAAACAGCGGACATGATCAGAAAAATGCTGGAACTTTGAGTACTGTTGCCTCAGTATCATTAATGGAACATTTCAGCAGAATGGGTGGCGTGTCGTATTTAAGGTTCACTTGTCACGTGGGTTGTTCTTTAAATATATTATTCATTCTTGTTTTGTTTTATGTTCGGTCTGTGGTTGATGTGTCTGCTTCATGATTTGCAACAGACTCTGGATCATTTCCAATTGGGTGGCTACTTATCAGTGCAAGCTTTTATTTTTACTTTTTGTAACCATATATCGCAAATGGAAATTTTTTTCAAGAATCATTAGCTTTTCTTAAGTCGATTCTTGTGAACATGTTCATACTTTCTCCCGCAAGGTAAAGATTGTCATCCAAAGATGATAATTGCACTTTCGTGAATGTTTAATGATTGTTTTTTGAGCCCTTATGTATTCAGTGTGACACTTGATAACAAAGCTATCAGTGTGACACTTTTGTAAATTTATCTATCGAAGAACGTTCCCATTTCTATATAGTTTCACGCCTTTTAAGCGAAACATACTGCAGCGACAATATTATACTCGACATTGATGATAGCTAAGCTTAGAACCTTTTGACATTTAGATGTTTCAGAATCGATGAATAACCAGATGCACGTTATATGAACTTAGTACACAGTTCATGAGGGATAATATTGTCCAATTTCCAAGAATAGAACGTGGAATTCTTGGACAAAGAAAAAGATAGCCATTGGTTGTTACATGATTCTTCATGTTTGTAAGCACTCTTCCAATAGTACAGTAGAGTTATGATTTTACTGGACTGTGATTAACAAAAGCATTGATCAAAAGACAAGGAAAAGGTAAACAAAGTTATGCTTAGGGAGAGTTAGACTGCTGGAATCTTACTCCAGGCAAGTATTTGGTCACAAATTCTCTAGCCAAACCTTGGAGTTCCCTATCCTCCAGTTGTTGGTCTGATTGATTGAAAAGGATGCTGCTTAACTCTAATGATGCTGAATGTGGTTGAAGAGGGTCATAGTGCATAATAGGAACACTTTGCATGTCAGCGTTTGATGGCATATTATCTGAGGAAGGAAGGGTTGGTGGTGGAGAGCTTTGAGGATGTGGTAGAGGAGCTACTGCCATTGGCATGCGCTGCATTGTGGCAAGACGGGCTTGGACATAGGTTAACTCAGCCTGCAAGTTCATGACCTGCACAATCCAAATCAAGATTTAGTTAATCACTCTGTGTTCTACCTTATCATGCCATATGATGCGATGTTTTACATTTGTGAGTTTTTCATCGTTCACGTTAGTGCAGTTTACTGGTTCAAAACTATTGAAATATCTTACCATATTAATTACAGAATAAAAAAGTGCTTATCATGATAATAACTTGTAGCCATCAAACTCAAAGCGATTGATAACTTCATATACCATATAATCGTATTGATTTTTTTTCTCCTTTAGGGACAAATATTTTCCTCACATATATTACTCTCTATTCATATAATCAGGAATCGGATCCTTGTCAGTTGTTTAAAGAACCTAATCTACCAACTACTTGTGCAACGCTTTATAGGTATAAGCATATATAGATCTATCTATTCACACTTCAACTGTGTTTCAGGTTATGAAAATACTCAGCATTTCAACAAGTGACTTTTTAAATAATTCATCTTTCAACTCTATCGAGAATTATGGTATACAATTAACTTGTGACAATAGAGTATAAATATAGCCTTAAAAAACTTCATTTTTCATTAAACTTACTGTTTCTAACTTTTGTTCAATTCTGTTATGTGAAAAGGGGCAGTGAAATTGTAACCCATTTATAGTAAACAACAACAGTACATATCAGTTGCACCTCAATTACAATGATTAATACATCAGTGACGACAACTATTTATGTAAAGATGCTTTGAATAAAATATGATAACTTAATAATTTTGTGACCATATTAGTAGAACAATTTTTCTGGAGAAAGAGATTAACTCATTACCTGATCAAAAAGTGCTTTAACCAGATCATAGAACAGACCAATATTAAAAGAATGTCAGATAAGGAGATAAAGATTATGGCCACTTACCTCAATCATGTGCCGGCAATTTAATACAATTTATTACAGTCCAAATTATACATGCATGTGAGGAATATTCTCATCCAGGGTTAAAAGATAAACTTAAAGCTTCAATATCTTATTTGAAAGCTTGTTTAATAGCAACAAAAAAGACAAAAACAATCTTATCCAAACTGCTTTTCCTTTCTCTCTGCAGAATCTAGAAGGCAATTACTTAATTGTTATTTGGTAACTAATCACACAGGGAATGATGGAATTATACCTAATTAAAGTTGAGGAATCAATTGGTGTGTTTCTGCCCAATAATGACCATGAAAGGAACACAAACATTGTATATATAGGGTACTACGTGCAAGTGTTATCTTACTATTTTCGCTGTGGTTAATCACAGTATCATGGATGAACATGAAGAAAGGTTCTACCAGTCAATTATTGCATCTTAGAATTTACATAATACTTAAATGCATTCTCAAATGTAAGGAAAAGGGTTGTTGCATAAGACTATGCAACTTTATCTTATAAGATGATCAGTAATAAATAGTAACCTTAGTTTAGCATAGACTTGTCAAACAACCTTTGAAATTGGTAGGTTCTTTCTGCGCTATATCTTATTGTAATAAATAAATCAACCACTAATTACATCCTTAGTTTTTAATTAAGTAGATTAAGTTTATAAAGTTTCATACAACCCAAAAACTTTATTGTATACTCTACTTTCTTTTTACAAATAACATACACAACTTTCTGCACTGCACATAAATAAATGAAGTTCTATTGCATAATTTCGTGAATAAAGTGGTGAAACTTACTGTCTGTAAAAATAACATAACATTAACTGCATATAATTTTGCCACACACACAAAAGAGAAGAATTGATCTAAACAATTTGTAAATGGAGATAAAAACTATACTGCAAGAAAAACTGTAGATAACTAAACTCATTTCTGTTCTGTAATAAACGATGAATACATGCGTGTGGATTTTTTAAACTTTTATACACTAGACAATGTCCTGCTATTCAGTGATCATGACATTATAAAATTCATGAACACCACAAAATTTCAAGTGCAAAATCAGACATTATTCATAGTTAAACAATACTGCATTAGACTGAAATTTCCTCACAAATCAATATTAAGGCGCTATTAATATATTCACGTGAAGGAACATCTTCATTATTTTTAATCACTTAATTTTAAAACATTGTGAACATTAATCACCATTTGCTAATATACAAATGTGTATATGTAGCAAGAGTTTGAAAGTCAAGACTGAAAATATTTGAATATTTCTCGAGCTGCTAATTTTGTTGCTTGGTGGCTCCGGCAAGCAACTAACAAGCCTCCATAGTCAGCTACACCCAGTTGGCGGCTACCACCACCCTCTCTTTCTTTATAAAAAATTCTATATGATTATTAATAATTAACATGAATTTCACAAAGTTTAATTCTTTGAAAACCTAATTTTCAACAATACATGAATTTCAGGTGCCCAAGTTTTTATGCTAAATGTAGACCTTTTGGGTAGGTTTTATTTATTATTACTATACCATATTGATAACATGGTATTCATGTATTAATTAGTAGTAGCTAGTAATAGTGTAGTATACCTGATTATATATATGCATATAAATGGCTACCTTGAAATCACAAAACCTACCTACACTTGTAGGGGGCGTTCTAATTAAGTAGTGTATGGCTTCCATGGAAAAATTGTCCAAAAGCTAACAAACGTGTCAAAGCAAACAGTACAATGTACAAACTATAATAATATCCTAAATGGTAAGATCTTGACCTACGAGGAATGCAAAACAGTGATACTTGTCAAGAGACTGCACTGGAAAGTACAACAAGTATAGGACCAGTTCACACCCCGGCGCATGTTAGCATGTTCACTAGCAGTTTATGTGTTAAATATTGATCCCTATATCCATCTTCTTTCTCCGGTTAAACTTAATTAATCAAGCCTATTGTAGTGGTGGATGATTGATCTAAAACGCAGTGTGTAGAAACTAAGGATTCAAGAACAAGCAAGTTAGCATCAGTACTTATTCCAACACATTTGTGTAACACTTATTCAGACTAATCCATCTTCTTTCATTAGACTCTATCTCCATATATTAGGAGAAAAATGATATATTATTAAAATGAAGAGATTAGTTTTTAAATTTAAGTAGCCGACATACATGCATTATCTGGTGTTTAATCAGAAATGCAGAAAACCAAACCACCAAGGGAAGATACAAAACAAAAACTAAACGCTTTGATGGATTTTCCTCTTACTTTTGTTACATTTAAAAACTATGGTGATGACCAATTAGAAAGTGATGAGTAGAAAATGAAGGAGGGAAATGAAAGAGAGAAATGATCTGAGTGAGATGAACCTGTTGTTGAAGAGCAAAGAGGTGACCAACACAACCATAAACAGGGTCTCTAGCCCTAGCCAAAGCCTCATAGCATAGAGTAACAACTGCATCAAGACGTTTGTGTGCTGGGATTCTCATGAGTAACTTAGAGGCATTGCTTGCACCAAACACCTTGTGCACTGCAGCAAAATGTGCAGTTCCTTGGTCTGAGTCAAAGTATGGTGCAAATATGCAGCCCTTGACACACTTTCTCCTCAGAAACTTGCAGGCACCACAAGGCCCACCTCTTTCACTTCCACCAATCTTTCCTCCATAATCCATCCCTTTTTTTTTTTCTCTCTCTCTCTCTACAATGTAATCTGGAGCCAGAAATTGGCCTAATCTTTTCCTTGCTCAGGGTTGAACCAAAATTTTTTGTGGGGCATCAAGAAAGATATATATATATATATATATATATATATATACATATATAATGAGGTGTGGGATGTAGATGAGGGGTTTGTATTCCTTGCTAACTTGATTTTGATTTGATGTGGAGAGAATAATGAGTGAATGCTTTTGTTGGTGGGTCACTCACTTGAGATGGACTAGCTTGGTGGTTCAGTTTTAATTTGGCTTTTAGCAAAGACTTTGATTTCAGTAATCCTATGAAATTTCTACAAGACGTATTACAAATTATTAGTTTTTAATTAATGAGACTTAAGAAAGGTATACCAATGGAAGACGCAATTTCTTAAGTATTTTATAATATTACTCTTCCTTGAATAGTGTTAAAGAAAACATTCTTTTTTAATACTTTTTTATGACCCGCCTAATTTTGATTTTTTTAACAAATTTCAGTTTATGTTAAAAGAAGCGTGTTTATGTAAATTGCACCAAATAATATCCTATCAGCACCAAATAATATTTGTGCATTAATTTAAAGTTTAAGTTCACTCATCATAAAATTTAACGTAAACTATTAAATAAAACTCCACTTTCAATCAAAGAATTAAAAAACATGTAAAGAATGTATTAAACTTTAGTGAAAAATAATTAATTCAACTATTGTTGTATATTTTATGAAATAGAAGTATATCTATTGACACTTACATAATTCATTTGTATTTTTTTTTTTCATCTTCCCACATCATACAATGCTGTCTCATTTTTCAAATATTGAAAGAATGTATATAGGCAAGTGGGTACCATGAATAGTTTTTAATGTTGAGGAGAAGTATTTTGTTAGGGTTATTAATTAGGGTAATGTATAGTGTGTTGTGAGTTGTGGGGGGCTGAATTTGGTTGAAAGTTTGAAACTTTAAAGCCACGCAAGCAAAGCAAGGAAAGTTAAGAAGGGAGGGAAAATATAGTAGTATAGTAGGGAAAGAAAGGGAAGAAGAGGGTTTGCGTGAAGCAAACACAGTGCACAACACAACACAACACACCACACCATGGTGTGAGATGAGATGAGTGAAGAAGAGAGAGAAAAGAGTTGAATTCAGTAGGTGACAGACAGCATCAATATCAGCTTCCAACCGCCACTACAAGAAGCCACGTGCCACACCACCTTCCTACGGCAGCACGTGGGAGAAACATCCTAACCTATCTATCTGTCTATCTAATCTCATTCATATCATATCTATCACCCCTTCAATTCAATTCAATCTCTTTCTATCTATCTGTTCAATCCTACTTTGCTAGACCTCTTTCTTATTCTCTCTCACCTGTCACCTCTCCCGTTTCACTTAATTTCTTGTTCCTCCTCCAAAAAATGACACAAAGCAAGCACAGAAAGTGACACCATGAAATGGGTGACTCACTATTGGTGCCCTGTGCTTCTGCTACAAAAGTTACACTTTCTTTCACCTCGTACAGGACCTTCTCTTCCTCCTCCTTCATGCCCTCATTTTTCTGTCTAGTACGAGATTGTTTTCCCTCTCGACAATGCCAGTGTGCTGTCTTTCACCCTTTTCCAATAGTTCTTGATGTGTGACAGTTTTTATATAAATACAAGTATTCAATTCTGTGTTTCATTAGGGTTGTTTTCTTATGCTATGATGTCTATGGACACATCACAATTCTTTTTAAATCTATCAGAGCTGAGTTTTTCTTACAATCTTCACAATGCAGATCAATTTTACTGAAGTTGCTGTCAATTACTTTCATCCACTGTGGTATGTCACACACACACACATACATATATATATATATATATATATATATTTTTTTTTTTCATGTTTCATAGACATTAATTTCTAACAGCACGATAGCTTAGAATTTGTCTGAACATTTATATGAGCATTTTATGGATGTGTGGATATTTTGATCACACAAAATGAAATCTTGTTTGTTTGGGCATCTTCATTTTATTGGTTTACCTTCTCTATATATAATATTTATTTGGATAAAAGAAAATAAAAAAAGGAAAAAAATGAATATGTGTAATAGAATTGTACAAATTTTTATTACTATATTTGTTAAAAATAATTTTTTAACTTTTACAAAAATTAGAAAAAATATTGAAAAAGATTTTCATATCACTGAAATTGACAGCACTTTTAAACAGTAACTAGATTGCAGAAATAATATTCAAACTCGACCAAAAATTTGCATATAAAAGTATATGGAAGTGAGATAGATGATTATAAAAGTATTAAAATAATGTAACAAAAAGAATTTAGAGAGGGAAATAAGGAATGGGAAAAGGTGAAGTGAGTGAGTGAGATAGAGGACTAATTAAATGTGTCCAAATGAAGTGACCAGGAAGCACAAAAAAACATGCTTGATGTGATTACAAGACATCAAATTACAACACAGCCAAAGGACCCACCAATGGTGTGTTAGTGTTACTATTATTTATTTGTGTCTTATGAGAGGGAAATTAGAAGAAGCTTCAAAATGGGAACTTTAGGAACATGGTGATTGCATGAGCCTCTAAGTATGTGCCTTCTTTTGTTCATAAGTTATCCCTATTTTTTAGGGTTATATATGTTTTCATTGTTAAAATATAGTTATGTTTTGTCTTTTATTCTTAACTATATTTTGGTTTTGTCATTCTAAAATATATAGAACATTTTCTTTTAGTTTTTATTTTGTGTTTTTCAAAGTAACCCTTGTTGGAAATGAAAAACAAATTATAGAAGACTAAAATATTTTTTTTTAAGTTGAAATAAAACAATGAAAATCGGAATTAAAGATTACACGAACTAAAAGTTGAATAAAATTTATTTTTATGAACTAAAGAAAAAAATGTTTCAAAAACAAAATATATTTAAAGATGAAATGAAATCTATTTATTTTAAAAATAAGAGCTAGAAAAATATAATTTTTATTGATTTTTTTAGCAATATAATGATTAATATGTATTATTATATTTGTATGTGAGTGTGTATTTTTTTTACCATATTAAAAAAAAATATATATATTTTTTTTATCTATTATACATATCTTGATTTTAAAAATGAAAGTGAGTATTAAAGTAAGTAATTTTTGTATATATATATATATATATATATATATATATATATATATATATTCGCATATCCACATATAATATTTGTTATAATTATAATTAATTAAAATAAAATAAATGAAATTTAAAAATAAATTATATCAACTACTCATGTATCAAAAATACAATTTTTATAATTTTTAAAATAACAAACAAAAATGGTAGACTAATCTAATCATTCAAATTAATCACACTAAGATATAATAACATGATATAATAAGATCATATATCCAATTCAAGAAATAAAATTATTATATTCATTGAATCCATAACTCAATGTATATAAATATATCACTACTTAGTAGAATCTTATTGGTAATTATCTATTATATCCACTACTTGAACATCTCAAACAACCTAATCGAGTGTCCGGTGTAAAAATTGGTTTGATGCTTTTAAATTAAATTAGGACAAAACAATTTGTTGAATTTTTAGCTATAAAAATAAATTAAAATTAAATTTTTTTAATATAATTTTATAAAAATTATGATATATTTTAATTATTATTTTATCTAACTTTAAATAATAATTATTTTATTGTATTTTTATCTTATTTTAATAATTATTTAGTTTATACTCTCTATGTAACAACCCGTAAATTCTACTTAAAATTTTTACTAAATGAAGGAAGAAAATAACTTTTTCACCTAAGAGAGATAATAGTTCAGTTTACATATCCAGAATAGTTGAAAAGAAAAAGAAAAGAAAACATCACACATCAAAAGTCCTAATTACACAAATGTTTTACACCTAATTACACAGCACAAAATAACTCTTTCAAATTTAGGAGGTCTCTACTCCATTTCCCAAATCACTGGGTCTTACTACCACCTGTAGAAGATTTGGAATCTGCTCACGTGTATAACACGATCATAGCAGGATCCCAAAAGATCAAACACACAACAAAAGCAAGGGTAAGCTACTATTTGATTAAATATGTAGAACATTGTAACATTGCAAACAACACTTATTAATTCACAAACATCCTAAAACTAGACTCACCGGAGAGTCTAGCATTTTACAATCACAACACACAACAAGACTGACGCTTTCCGGAAAACTATATGGAATTCGGACTCAGTAAGGTAGACACCTGATGAGGAATATTTGGGGTCCCGCACCTTAAAATTTCATGGCCCCAGTGCCTATAATATCATTTCTTTTTTTTTTCCAACCTCTCATCGAAGCAACACATGCATAGGATTGACACTATGCTCGTGTCTCCATCGACTTCCCACCACAGATGTCTTCGTCTATATGACTAGGAACATCTTGGAAGTCTCGGATACCCTATTATGCCTATCCATAATTCCATACACATTATTCTATACAAGACATCAAATCTATCATTCAACAACTATTTCATACACACTATTTTACTCATGGTTTCTAGAATCAAACCAACATCATACAATTCAAAATGTCCAAATCCAACATTTAAAATTCTCAACTACTATGCAATCATAATTCACTTAAAACGGTACATCATTTCTCCTTCAAACCACACAAATCAACCATACAATTTGGAAATGCAATAATACAAAGATATCTATTTCACAACAATTTACACTGCAAGGTTTCCACAGTACTCACAATAGCATATCACATCTAGCACGTATATGTGTCACAAGCATATTCTCATATATATATATATATATATATATATATATATATATATATATATATATATATATATATATATATATACTCACAAACATACTCTCATATCACGTATATATACGTATATATATATATATATATATATATATATATATATATATATATATATATATATATCTCACAAACATATTCATCATTCACTTTATCA